GGGGGGGGGGCGGGTGCAGCTGTTCCTCCCGGGTGGGTTCAGACCCATCAGCCTCCAAAGAGACAGCCCCCTCCCAGCCAGCCGAGTCTGCCACAGGGACAGGCCAGCCCAGGGTACAGACAGTGCCCCTCGCTACCCTGGCTCTGGGAGTTTGGGGCCCCGCTACCCAGCAGAACAGGAGCTGAGGCCTCTGACAACCTAGAAAAACAGGTTTGCGAGCTGGTTTATGTTTTCATTTCCTCCTCCCGATGGGAGCAGCACAGTGACCCAGGACCTGCCACCCCTCCTTTAAACGTAATCTCGTTGGACCCTGGAACATCCCTTCTCCCACGATGGGGGCAGAACCCAGGAGTCCTGGCTCCCAGCCCCCCTGCTCTAACCCTCTAGACCCCACTCCCCTCCCAGAGCCAAGGACAGAACCCAGGAGTCCTGGCTCCCAGCCCCCCTGCTCTAACCCTCTAGACCCCACTCCCCTCCCAGAGCCAAGGACAGAACCCAGGAGTCCTGGCTCCCAGCCCCCCTGCTCTAACCCTCTAGACCCCACTCCCCTCCCAGAGCCAAGGACAGAACCCAGGAGTCCTGGCTCCCAGCCTAAGATTCCTCTCCCCCAGGCCTGGGCCCAGCCCAGCCCCGTCACAGACCTGCTGTGGCCGAGGGAGACGCACCGCTCCCCGGGTCCCAGCCCAGCCCAGCCCGTGCAGGTGCCATGGCTGTGGGAAAGGCGCCCCTCCCCCCCCAGCCCAGGTGCTGCTGCGGGGAGAGAGGGCTGAGGGGAGTCCTCTCTCCCTGCCGTAGCCCCAGGGCAGCCTGCACCCCAAACCCCTCATCCTCGGCCTCACTCCAGAGCCTGCACCCCCAGCTGGAGACTTCACCCCTCCCCCGCCCAAGCCCTGAGCCCCCTCCCATACTCCGAACCCCTCGCCCCCCCCCACATGAATTTTGTTATGTACCGTACACCAATATGGAGGGGAGGTGTGACACATCACCTCCATATTGGTGTACATAACAAAATTCATTCCGCACATGGGTAGGAAAAATTAGAGGGAACACTGCCTTCCAGCCCCCCATGCTCTAACCTGCTAGGCCCCACTTGCCTCCCAGAGCCAGGGATAGAACCCAGGAATCCTGGCTCCCAGCCCCCCCTGCTCTAACCCTCTAGACCCCAACCTAGGAGTCAGCTAGTGTGTTTGGGGGGGGGGGGTCTAACAGCAGCCTCTCCTCCCCCATGGGCCTGTGCAGGGACTCACGTGCTCCAGGAGTATTGGGTGGGTTTGGGGTTCCCTTTGGCCGCGCATCTCAGCACGGCCTCACTCCGGCTCACGTACCAGTTGTCATCATAGCCATCGATAGTGACTTGGGGGGGGTCTGTGGACAGAGCAGAGGAGTTGGTCAGACTCTGCCGGCTGCCTTTGGGGCCCGAACTATCCCTGCCCCACAGCCATGGAGAGAACCCAGGAGTCCTGGCTCCCAGCCCCTGCCCCCCCTCTAGCCCACTAGACCCCACTCCCCCACCAGGGACAGGGATAGAACCCAGGAGTCCTGGCTCCCAGCCCTCCTGCTCTAACCCACCAGCCCGCACTCCCCTCCCAGAGCGGCGGATGAGATCCATGAGCCCCGGCCCCGTCACTCACACAGCACGGACAGCACGACCGGGATGTTCTCCGGCGCAGCCAGTGTCCTCTGGCTGATGACGCAGGTGATTTGCTGCTGGTCTGCTGCCGCCGTGGGCACCATGTTGAACTGGCTGGTGACGGTGACGGTGCCGTCTCCATTGGTCATCTCGGAGGCATTGAAGTTGCCGGGGAGGGTGGAGAGCCACTTGATCTGGGCAGGGGGTTTGCCGTTGGCTGAGGTGCAGACGGCCACTGGGATCGTGGTGTTACCTGCCACCACCTTCCGCGACTCCGCCGTGTTGGTGGGCCTGGCTGGGGGGACCAGAGGGCAGGGTTAGCTAGTGGTGTTCCCCAGGCTCCTCCAGCCAAGGTCAGGGGCCCCATCGTACCGGGCGCTGCACAGAGATTGGACTTGGCCAAGCTCCATGGGAGCAGAACCAGGAGTCCTGAGTCCCAACCCCCCGGACCCTCCTAGCCAAGTTCCCGTCCCTGAAAATCCCTTTCCCAGCAGCTGCCCACCGAGAGCGTCTCGGTAGCCATGCTTTATGATGCTTTCCCCATCGTTAATTAAAGCAATTAGCACAGGCAGTTCTGCCCATGCCAGACACAGGTATGAGGAACCCCAAGGCACCGATTTCACCACTTCCCCTGCCCTGGGAGCGGCGCAGGCTGCATCTGATCCCAGGGGTGTCCTCACAGACCATTCTCTGAGAAGATGGGACCCACAGGCCAAACCATCAGCCCCATACGCCCTTCTCCAGATCAGAGCCAGCGGCCCCTAGAGGGGAAGGCCTGTATCTCATTCCTCCACCCCCACCCCAGCCAGTCCCCTGCCTGGGGTGGGATTGGCACACTCTAGAGGGGAAGGCCCCATGTGCCATTCCCCCCCCCAACCAGTTCCCCACCTTGGGAGCCCCCAGGGACAGTCCCTGTGCACCCCTCACCCAGGATGCTGAGCGTGGTGACCCCATCCTCGTTGCCATGAGGGTAGGTGGCGAATTCACAGACGTAGGTGCCCTCGTCACTCATGCGCAAGGGCTGGATGATCAGCGTGGCATCCTGCAGGGAGACGTTCAGAAACCGGATCCTGCCGCTGTTGTCCAAGGGGAAGTTGGGCTTGTGGTCCGGGAGATAGACAGCCACATTCTGCTTCTTGCCCCCCATCTCCTTCATCCAGGTAACCTGGCTGACCTTGATGTCGGGGCTGGTGGCGGGGAAGAGGCATTGCAGCATGGCCTCATCGCCCACATAGCCCGTGACCTCATTCCGGACCTTCACCCGCTGCGTCAGCACCACTGTGTGGGGAGAGACAGAGCCAGTTAGCAGGGGTGGGAGGGAATGGCCTACTCCAGCCGCTAGACCCAACGCCACTCCCAGAGTTGGGATGGAACCCAGGAGTCGGCTCTCCCAGACCCTCCTGATTTGACCCACTGGACCCCATTCCTCTCACAGAGTCAGAATAGAACCCAGGAGCCCTTCTGCTCTGACCATTAACCCCACTCCCCGCTCAGAGCCAGGAAGAGAACCCAGCCCCCCTGCTCTAACCACTAGACCCCAAGTCCTTCCCAGAGCCAGGACAGACCCAGATGTCCCGATTCACAGCCTAGAGAGAGACTCAGCTGGTTAGTGATTGGGGGGGAAGAACAAGAGAGACACACCCCCATGAGTATCCCACTCTGAGCTCCAAGCCCCTGCAGCCCAGAGCTGGCCAGCTCCTCGCTGGGGACGCCCCTCTGGCAGGGAGATGTGGAAGTCTGGGAGCCACAAACCCAGGGAGTTACCGGTGGGTTTGGAGGGATAATTCCAATAAGAGCCATTTAAGTTGCAGGTGTTATTCTGGGGTCTGACTAGATGATCTAATGGTCCCTCCGCCTATGGGCCTGCTTTACTTGCCCACCAGGGATCCTTCTACCCACAGATCCAGGGACCATTCGGTCTTGCAGTCTGACCTGCTGTACATCACAGGCCAGGGACTTCCATGCGTCCCCCTGCACAAACCCGCATCTCAGTGAGAACCCACTGCTTCCCATGGGAGTGCCTCCCAATCCACTCAGAACTGGTGCCTTGTTTCCAACTGCACCATGTCTGGCTGTACCATCCAGTCACTGGTTCTCGTTCTGCTTCGCCGCTAGGCTCAGAGAGGCTTTCAGTGCCTGGGACAATCGCCTCCCCAGGGGCGTTGGAGCAGTGTGTATAGGGGGGTGCCAAGAGCCACTGAGCCAAACTGTAAACTCTGCGTATGATGGAAACCACGTCGACCCCCTGACCCCTGCACCTCGTGACCCTTGTGAGACGCTAGCCAGACCAAGCACGCTCCGTCTCACTCCAAGGCATCTTCTCCAGCCCTCAGATCATTTCTGCGGCTCTTCTCTGCCCCCGGGTTTAACTCAATGGGTTTGGGGCACGCAAACAAACCCTCCTGTTCCTGGGTCGTTTGCCCAAGTAACGACGCCTGGGCAAGGGCTACCCAGGGAATTGCACCGATAGAACTGAACGCGGCAGCTTTGTAAACGGTACAACTGCACGCTTAGACCTAAGCCTGCCTCCAGCCAACCCGCAGTGTCCACAGGGCCGTTTACACCAGTTACCTGAATCCATTTAAACCCAGATCTTAAACAGGTGCAGCTCTGCATATAGACAAAGCCAAGGGACAACTGGGGCCAGTTCAGAAAAGGGAAAAGCTAGGCTGCATACCATGGGAAAATATCATGACAGAGAGATGGATCAGGCTGGGGAATTGTCTCCCCAAAGGAAGAGCTGGGAGCCCCAACATTGGGCCGGGGTCCCTATATAAATAGCCCCACTCCCCACCCGGGCAGGGATGCCATGGGGAGCTGGACTCTCTGTGTTTCGCAAGCCCAGCGCACCAGGAGCTGCACCAGATGAAGATCTCTTCTGACCTGACGTGCTGCCATGAATGCATAAAGGAGCAAGTGTGCAGTTCAAAGTGCCATCACCTTCCGCACCCCGATCCAGAGTGAGGGAGAATCGAGCAGAGGGCAGGGGCCGCCGGCAGGGGGACACGGGAAAATTTTAGCCCAGCCAGCTGAGCGCTGCCACAGGTGCTGATCAAATGCAGTGTATTTAACAGGCTCCCCCGCACCCGATTGGTTCATCCCACTAACTTGGGAGAGCAGCGCTGCTCTCCCAAGGAGACCCATGCAGGGTCTGGGAGCCTCCCTCGGCCGTCTGTCTGTCCAACGTGCCGTTGTATCCCAACACAGACAGACAAGTTCTATCCACACACCCACCCCTGCATGCACAGATACACACCTGTCCAACCCTCTACACAAAGGCTTCCTCCTCCCCCTGGACAGTCACTAATCTGAGATTTTCGTGACTCAGGGCCACAAAAAACCCCCACTGTTTCTTAAACTCTTCTCCCCTGCCCCAATTAGGCTCATTTTGCCTTCTGCTTTCTGAGCTGTTTTCTTGTCTCCTGACACACCCTTCTCCCCCCTCCCTCCCCCCAGCCAGGAGAGCCAGAATGGACTTTTTCCAAACACAAGCGGTGAGTCTCAAATAAATCACATGACCCTGGGAGCTGGGTCTTTATGAAGAAACACCAGAATCCACAAGAGTCATTACAACAGCACAAGTCAGCCACAGTGCTGGATCTCCCCCCCAGTGTGCATCTCCACACCCCACATGTGCATCTCTATGCAGACATCCCTGCTCCCCCCCGTACCTGCACGGCTGTATCCATACAGAAGGCACGGTGCGTTTTCAGGCTGCTAAAGCCGGTCCGGCTCGGACTTCGCTGTCTGAGCCACTTCCATTGATTCAGCTTCGCCCTCACATGCCCAAGACGTTGCCCTGATTTCATGAGCCCCCAGTCCCGTTCCCCGCCCCTACTCGGCTGCTGCTCCCGGATGGGGATTCTCCCTTGATGTGACTCACACACACAGCCCCACTCATCCTTTGAGAGATCACATGACTCCCACCCCAACCTGGCTCACGGGAACTGACCAACATCTTGTACTACAGCCCTGTGCCAGTCCCAGGCCTGGGGCCGTCAGTGGCAACAGCTCCCTGCTGGCCCCGGGGGGGAGGAAACAAACTGCTAATAAATGCTTCATATCTCAGAAAACCTGTTACTCACCAGACACAGCTGGTAAATGACTCACCACCATCACATAGTGAGTTGGCAGCAAAGCTACGAATGGAACCCAGGAGTCCTGGCTCCCAGCCCCCTGCTCCAACCACTAGACACCACTCCACTCCCAGAGCCAGGTACAGAACCCAGGAGTCCTGACTCCCAGTCCAGCCCCTTAACGACTGGCCCATTCTCCTCCTCCAGCAGAGCTGTGAGGCTGTGTCCATCCAGGCTGGGAGCACTCAGAGCGTGGGATCTGGGCAGGGATTTGAGGGACATGGATGCAAATCCAACACACACACACGCAGGCCATATGTCCCCTGCTGCAGAGGTGAGGACAGCAGACAGCTCGGGGCGATGCAGCCCAGTTCTCCCAGCATTTCCAGGCTGCTGGGTAAGGTGCCAGCTCCTCTGCTTCACAGACAGTAACCTATTGTCCCTGCCACAGCTTTCTTCCTGTTTGGCTGGGAGGACATGGGACACTTTGTTTCCGCGCGCGCACACACACACAGATACACACACCCTCCACCCAGACAATGCAGAAAAGGGAAAGCAACCTGCCTGGGTCAGCAGGGAGTAAAGGACAGAGAGATCGGAGCTGGGGAAGCTCCCACTCCCTGAACAGGGATGGGGAAAGAATTGGTCATACTTTAATCACTGTGGCTGGCCTGACTCAGCACACTACAGCCTGGATAGAACTGCTCCCAGTCATCCCCCAGTCCACTAGACCCCACTCCCCTCCCAGAGCTGGGATAGAACCCAGGAGTCCTGGCTCCCAGACCCCCCCCCCGGCTCTAACCACTAGACCCCACTCTCCTCCCAGCACCCCTCTCTCAGGCTGGCTGTGGTATCCACTCACGGCTCCCTCCCTCTGCTAGCTCTGCCGAACCATAACCTTTTGGGCTGCAATTTCCCCTCTTCAGCCCCTTCAAAGAAAACCCGCGTTGTGGACTGGGGCTCAGGACACCTGGGTTCACTTCCCGGCCCTGCTGCTTGCTCTCCGTGTGACCAGGGCCAGTTCCTGCGTCTCCCAGAACCTCACTTCCCAGCTGTAACGTGGGGAGATGATTCTGCCTTGGGCCACTTGGACTGCGAGCATTTTGGGCCAAGGATTGTGCCTAGCTATGTGTCTGCCCAGCACCAAGCCTCACTGGGGGGCCCTTCCGATCTCTGCCAAGGGGGGCAGCACCAGGCACAAGGGCCCCCCCCCAACCTCAGCCTGGGGGGCCAACACCCAGCACAATAGGGGTCCCCGATCTCTGCTTGGGGGACTGAACAGCATCTGGCACAATGGGGGGGACCCATTTCGATCTCGGCCGGTGGGAGCGTATACAGCGCCCAACACGACTGGCCCCCCTCCTCCCCCACCAGAATCATGCCCAGTCCCTCCACTGCATTTCGGCTGGGAGGGCGAGGTCTGTGCAGCACCCGGCGTGACGGGGGAGTGGGGCCCCTTAGCCCTGTGGAACAAACAAACCCTAATTGCACCATCTCTGTGCTCCACTTAGATCAGTTTGAGAAACCAGAGAGGAAAAAGGCTCCAGGCAGATTTTTTTGCCTGATGATTTTGCTGCAGAAGAAAAGGCTTTTTTTGTTCCCAGTCAGCTAAGGGATCTTTGCAAGAGAGAAAGAGGCACACAAAGGACAGACGGCCAATGGGACAGACACACAGACAGTTTCACTTTTTAAAAATAGCCATAGCTGCTGAGGGACCAGCCTGGCAAACACCCCCACCCCCAAGCCCCTCTCCGCTCCCCCCAGCTTTCAGAGCCCTCTCTTAGGCTTCGTCCCCCTGTAGGACGATTATCCCAGTGAGCCAGGCACAGACCCCCTGCCCGTAATGGGAAGCGACAGAGCCATCTCGAGCTGCGCGCCACCGTCAGTCTAATTCTAAGAGCGTGAATGAAGCGGCCCCTAATTTAATAAGAAACCAGATCGAGCGTGAGGCGGGAGCATTAAAAATTCAGTTTTACATGAGGGGAAAAACAAAAACCTGAAACCGAACAGGAGGCGGCGGAGGGTAATTGCAGAGCTGCATTTTATCCTCCACTGCTCGGGGAAGCTCCCAGAGACCCCGACTGAGCCGAGATCGACCTGGACTCAGTAGGGGCTTGGTTAACCCCTTTCTCCTGGCTTTATAATTACAGCCTCTAACCCAAATCTCCCTCTCTCTTCCCTTCTCCAATTGACATTGCTAAATAGCACTGTTGTGCTGCTGTTAAATCGTCCCCCAGAGGTGCATGTCAGAGCCAGGCAAGAGAGCCCTGTATAAACAGCCCCCATGCCCCACCCCAGAAGCAGCCGCAACTCAGCACAGCAGGTACTCGGTAAAGGCAAGCAGCTGGTATTGCCAGCCATGCCCACGCCCCCAAACTGTGGTGGCAAGAGGCACCTGTTCCTCATCAGGAACATTTGGGGAGGGTGTAGGGCAGGGGAAGCGAACAGAGAAGGGGGACCAGGACTGTCTCTGATTTTCCCTCTTCCAGCTGAGTCAACAGGATCAGACAGCAGCCGGGCTGCAAATGCACAAGCGGAAGCCATCACGATTCCCCCAGCAGCTGCATGCCCCCCATAAGATTCCCACCGCAGTGGGCGAGCCAGGGAGGGGGCTAGCGGCACCCCTGCCGCCCCCCATGCTGCTGCAGAGCTCTGTGGACAATGCTGGCTCCACACCGCAGCACAGGGACGGGGGAGGGCTCACTACAGCTCGGGCAGCAGGAAGGGGCAGGTTACATATAAAAGGCCCCTTCCCACTGGGCAGTTCAGGCACCAGGTGCCCGTCTTGGCTGACCGGGGGGAGGGGGACTGACAAGGCCCTGAAGTGCTGGGTGCTCGAGTGTGAGGCAGGGGCATGGGGTGGGACAGCAGCCAGATGGAAACAGGCATTGGGAAGAGAGGATGACAAGAAACACCCATGCACGCAGATGGGGGAGGCGGCACTCCAGCCATTGTTAGGGGCTGGGAGCCAGGACTCCTGGGTTCTACCTCCACTTCTGGGAGGGGAGTGGGGTCTAGTGGTTGGACCAGGGGGGCTGGGCGCCAGGACTCCTGGGTTCTCTCCCTGGCTCTGGGAGGAGCAGGGGTCCAATAGCTCTAGCTACAAGAATGGATGGGGGCCCACTGTTAACTAGTTTGCCCTCCTGGCCGGCCTCACACGGCAGGTCAGACGAGATATTCACAACAGTCCCTTCTGGCTTGGACGATCTATGAATAACCCAGGCCAGGGAACGACACACAGCGACTCATCCTCTGCAGCCGAGCGTTAACACGGGGTGACACTAACGCGCACTGAGGCCCTCAAGTCTGCGGGGCAGGGACTGTCTCATCCTGTATCTCTCCCCCCAGATGCAGCCTCTCGGCACTACTGCAAAGGGTGAGCAGCCCGCACAGGAAACAGCAGCGAGTGGGGCCCCGACACAGGAGCCCTTCACATTCCCAGCTCTGCTATGATGCAGGGAACCAAACACGAGACTTGCAGCGTCCGTGGGCTGGCAGGAGGCAGGTCCCAGTTCCCTGGCCACCACCCATCTCAAGGGGGTGATCTCTGATCCGGGATGGGGGCAGGGAGTCACCCTGAAGGGCTCTGGGGGACCTGAGCGCATTCCCCTTCCTCGACTGCGCTCAGATGACCTTTAGACTGGTCTGTGCAATGCCTAACACAATGGGCGCCGGGCATG